ATCTTTAAATGTAGATCTTTCTCTACTTTTTTAAATAAAGTTTCAACTATGGCATTTACAACAAAAAAAAAAAAAAAGATTTAAATAAGTTTTAATATTAGTACATAGATAGCGCTACTAAAAAAAGGCACGATTTCATATTTTATTTATTATAAGTTTAAAAGCCTGAAATCTAATTTTTTAATAGTACTCGAATACAAACAAAAGGCGTATATTATAAGCCACATTCTGTGCTTAATAGCCATACATAAAATATTTTACTGTAATTTACCAACATGACTCAGTCTTTCTAAAGTCTTAGAGGAATTTATCTTCGCTTTGTTTGACTTTCTCCAGCGGTTTTAGCTTTACCAGGGTTATGCCAGTGTTTCGCCGTTTTGCCTAACAATAGTAGTATCACTATAACCATCTGGAAAACATGTCCTTATACGTATCACTCGAACCTTCAGTCTAAATTTTTATTGATAGAATAGCAATTATATATTCTACTGTAATCCTTTCAAAACTTTAAATATCATTCTTTATATTAACTACTAAATAACAATATAATTAACTATATAAGTCTTATATAGCATTATAGATCATTAATAATTAAAAGGTAATATGTATGATAATAAAGCTAATTTAAAGAAGTATAAAAGAAATTGGTAAATTCTCTGCGTAACAGTTATAGCGCGATTACAATGTTGTGCAGCATTAGATATCAGTGTAGGAAATTCGATGCTTTCAATGTTCTCTGAGAAGATCAATTTTGTAATTTTTTATAAATAAAAAAAAATTGTCTGAAAACATTAAACTTAGTTTGAATTTTTAACACTGATTGATACTCCATTTAGCAAGACTGCCATGAAAGCACCAACTATAATCTTGATTATTATCAAATGGACCGCGCCATTCTTTACTTTTTGAAGCTGAAACAGTGAATTCAAGGTCGTACGTGGTATAGTTGGCAGGTATCCACAAGTTGAAACCATTGTGAGCGATTGACCAGTCAAAAGTGATCGAAGAGCCATTATATAATGCTTCGAGGTTTGCCTGCGTACCTGGGAACATTCTATTATGGACCCATACGTTATGATGGTCTATACATGTTTATATATTGATCAAGTTAAATCAACATTGAGACAATTAATATTGCTTAATTATTCAAAATTTACCTGCATCTGGCTGTACAAAACCTATTGTGCCAAAGAAGATGGCAATGAATAAAACAAATAAATGAAGATTTAAAAGTGACTTCATAGCAATAATAAAAAACTAATTTAATACTTTTTTTTGGACGAAATAGCAAATGTGTAAATTTCTAAGATTTTTGAATTTTACTTATAATTAATATTAAAATATTATAAATATATAAAATTCTTGTTTTAATTAAGGCGCATTAAATGAATAAAAATGATAAATTTATACATTCCATATATATATATCTAAAATTTATATCTAAATTTATGTTGGAAAAACTTTATATCCGTATTATCTTAAATGCACGTGAATATTTATGTTGGAAAACCATTTATATCCGTAAATTATTAGATAGAAGAATAAGAAACTGTTTAGTTTGTTTAGCAGTGTGTGATTTAATGGTTTCATAAACAGTTGAGGGGTAAATACCCAAGATGTAGTATAAAATTAGATTGTAGAGAGGATTGGAAAAGTTAAGTGTAAGACAAAGAAGGATATTAAGGATAGTGATTGAGGATATATTTGTAATTTTAAAAGAAATAAGTGTGTTGGTGATTATGTTGATTAAAGATTGTTGAATATTGATATTATTGTTTGGGCAGAAAAGTAAGTGTAGTGTGTCTTCAAAGTTGGAGCAACGAGTACAATTTGGTGCAGAATATAGGTGAGGGTATCGGATATTTAAGTTTTCTATAGTTGGAAGATTGTTAGTTAGAATTTTAATTCTTAGTGAATATTTAAATAGGTTATTATTAAGAGAATTTAAGATATCAAAACATAGAGTCTATTGTATGTTGGATAAGTCTTTGAATATTTTGAGTAAAGACCAAGAATAAAGTTTTTGTATAGTATAAATGTTTTTAATAAAGGTTCGAATTTTAAAAGGAATTAAGTAGTCTTCCCATTGGAAATGAATTGGTAAGTTTACATAATTGTAAGAGATTTTAAGAATAGGCTTGTTTGTTCTTCATTTGGCTAGCATGTCTGTCTGATTGTGTAGGGAGTTAGAATGTGATTTAACTTTGTGCAAAGTGAAGGTGAGATTTTGATAGACTTAATTTGATTAATAGTAAGTAGGATGTCCCAGTTTTGGTTTTGTAAGGGTTTGGTATTATAGGTTTGTTTTAAATTTTTAATTGCTATCGTATTATCCAGATGGATATGTATGTGCATATTATTAGGGATTGCGAGAAGGAGAGAGATGACTGCTTCCAGTTTAGTACGTGTTGTATCTGAGTAGGGGGTAGTAGCTGCATTAAATTTGATAGATAAGTTATTTTCACTGATCCAGCCAATACCAGACTTTATGTTTGGTGATTGTAGATTTTGAATTGAGGCATTAGTATGAAAATGAAGTTCTTGAGAATCAAGGTTTTGAATAAGGAAATAAAGATTAGTAAGTTGATTTTGATATGCAGTTGAGTTAATTATATTGTATATTAATTGTATGTCTTGTGTATAGATGTTAATTTGTGGAGATAGTTGAGGAGGG